GCAGAAAATGCATTTCCAGTCCTTCCTCAAATAACAGCAACTCTGAAAACAAGACAAGGCTCTTGAAAGTTTTACAGCATCCCACTCACATCCTATTCATGAATCACTAATATACTTAATTTGAACCCAGCTGTTAGCTTCTTGCAGTGGAAGCTTCATCTTATTTATTTAAAGCCATTTACATTAAGTCAGAGATTTGTTTGATCCCCTGAGTGGTCACTTAAGGTAGGTCTAATTGTATGGGAAAATAGACTCATTAATGTAAAATGGAAAGCAAAGCCAATTAAAACTTACAGCAAGCTATTACCAGTCTTTTAATAAGGAATTAATTAAAAGATCTGAGGAATCAATCTGCTATAATAAATTGACTGTGTATGTATAAGTTTTGCAACTACTGAACTTGAAAAAAGGCCCGAAGTGACTAAGAGAGAGGAAAATAAACTGAAAAAAGACTTATTCAATATGAAATATTAGTCAAGGGGAAGTATGCATATATGTTGGAGTTATATACACATAGACTCCAGACTCATGGAAAGTTTTCCTGGTATAGTCCAGATATCCATCTTGGTTCAAACCATTCATAACCTCTTGCTTATGACCATAGTCATTTTGCTATTACATATCAATCTGAAGAAAGACTGATATCTTGACAAAGTGTTATACAAAACATGCAGATGTATTAAAAAAATGTAGTCACCCATTTTGTACTTGATGGGGCCAATATCAAGGGACTTGAAAGAGACCTGTTGGTCAAGGTTGAGACCTGTTGAAAGAAATAACTGTCAGCAGCATTCGACTTTCATGCTCAGATTCCCTCTGTTAGGCCACTGAGAACATATGAGACCACCAGTCACCACTGCAACCGTGAGCTACTACCATGTGTGGTCAGGAAGCTTTGCTGAGAGCCCACAAGACAGCTCTCCTACTCACATGGAGTGTTACTGTCTATGAAAGTGAGACATGTGCTAATATCCTGCATGTATGAGAAATATGTATGAGAAACATATGAGGTTTGAGTGCTGGTAATGGGTAAGTGTCCCAGCATCCATTCTGGGAACCACCATAGCTGTGGGAATGTAATGCCATGTTTCCTCAGAGAGTGGCAAAACAATGAGTTTCAAGGATAAGTTAAGATGTTATCTAAAAATGGATTGGCAATACTGAGTTACAAACAATAAAACAACACAGTATATTACCTGGATTAATCTGCCAGAGTTTGCCTAGATGTTCCAGTGGGCCATACAAGGTCGTGTGATTAACTGCTGCAAGACTTCTTTGATTTGGAAACCCTGAAAAGTTCTTAGATCAAAGTCTCTCCTCTTATTAATGCTGGCAACAATAAAGTAACCAGAGTAGCTGCTCTGGATGACTTGCTCTTTCTGAAGCCTGTGAAGATATTGCTCATTGCTCTTTTTTTTTCCTTTCTGATTATCTTGCTCTCATTTCTTGTGACTGGCACTAAGCAATTATATGGTGCTTCTTTCACATAGAAGCTTGTGCTAGCAGGTACCAGAGGCCCATGTGGCAAGCTGAAAGCTTTTTCCTCAGAAAGAACTAAGGGAAGGAAAGGAAATGGAATATGATAATTTTTTCTTTCTCTTTTAGATCACTTTTCTATGGTACATTTTCACTGACATTGTCTTCAGCACCATTCTCTAATTTGCAGCTGTCTGAAAGCAAGTTGTGTAATGGATGCAGAGATCTCTTGCTAGATGCCTCACAATTCCAACCCTGTGTCATTCCGACCCACAAAAATCAAACACGACATAGCAAAAGGAGACGTGTGGACGCTGGTTATGTTGAGTTAGAATGAGCTTCACACCAAACTGCTGGTAGTTCTGAGGTCTCTGAGGACCCCATGACCCTCTGAGGACCTTAGCAGTCACAATACCGAAAAATCAGCAGGTGACCCAGCACCCATCGTTATGTTCCAACTAGCTTTACCTGCACTCAAAGATGTTTTGGGGCTCTGAGGTGAAGTGGAAACTGGACTCCGCCTAGTCTAGGAAGCCCTTGTAGTCTCCAAAACAGTTGGGTACTTGCTGAATGCCTACTGGGCATGGGCCCACATTGTCCTATCATTCCTGGGGATCCTTCTTTTCAGCTACAGTATTTGAATCCCAACTGAGTCCAGATGCCCATGCAGAAAAAAAAAAAAAGTTTTGTTTCTTGTAAGGTCTCTAAGAATTCAGCTCCTAACACTCACTTGCTTACAACAGAAAGAAGAGCATGTCATAATCTGTTTGCCAAATTCACACAAATCAACAGAAGCTGGATTTATAATCCCTAATAATTGCATCAAACTGTTCATAAATGAGTTACAGGACAAGAATTATCTATGGAATTATTCAATTAGAGATTAGATCTCTTTTCATGGATGAAAAATGAATTAAATTAATGAAATAAATTATTTGCTCCAAATTATTCATTCTACTCTTGTCATTTGCTGCTCTGTGATAAGTCTAATAAAAAACATTTGTCAAGTGAGCCTGTCTCATCCATTTGGACCACAAAAACAAGGTCTTAATTCATTTTGGTTTCCTCTGACCCTTCTTTGGATCATTTACATTTGTAAAAGTGGATTTAAAATGCTACCAGATCACTAGCACCTGACAGTCACACTGAAAGGCGTAAAGAACTCTGAAAATGTGCAAGACAAGGCAGAATAAAGCACAAGAATTTTAGCAGCCACGGTAAGTAAAATCTTTATTAAAACTGATCTGGCATTTCAAAAATAGGTTTCTCTTTTTTTTTCCCCAACCCTTCAAAAATGTTCTGAGATTTATCTTTGAGAGCTTTTGAGAGCTGATTTCACCTTTCAAATTTAATGATATGTACTAATCCTGTGTGACTACTTTGTAGGTGCTGTTTTTTTTTTTTTCTTAAAATTACAGGGCAAGAGAAAAAAAAATGGAAATTAAGGTGCTGATTTCTATATTGGTCAGGCTGGATCACACATTGATTTGTTGCTACCTAAAGAAAAGTCGAAAGGTCACTGCAATGAATCATTGATCAGAGAGAGCATAAGTCTGAGGCAGTAAAATCTGATCTTAGAACATAAAGGACCTGGTTTCCTACACGGATGCATTCTGACAACATTTTAAATTTAACTTTCCTGAATCTCAGTTTAACTTGACAGATTCTGGTAGCCAGTTATCCAACCTACATTTTCACCTGTGCAAGCATGTCACAGCATCTTAACGTTGACTATGTTAAAATTAAGCTATACTGTTCATAAGTAGGACAAAGAAGTCCCACTCCAGTGTGTGGTGGGTTAGGTAAATGTTTATTTCTGAACCCTCAGCAATGTAGGATTGTTCCACATCTTCAAGGCACCTTTCTTGTCCCCCCAAGTCACAAATCTTGTGTATGTAAGCGCTTGAAAAAAACTCAGATTACATCTTGCATCATATCTCCAGTAGGTGGTATCCTCAGGAACACAACAGAGGTGACACTGACCTCCAGAGTTTAAGAACATGGTACTGGTGTATACTGATAGATTTACCTTTTTTTTCCTGGAACTTTCACTTGAATATGGTGAGGGCTACAAAGATGAAAACCACAGTGTACCCTAGTTCATCTGTCAGGGTATAAAATGGATCTCTCACAACCCCTGCAGTTACTGTTCCCTGCCCTCTTTGCTCTGGCGTGGTGGGCGCACAGGTGCGTGTGACAGAGAGAAAGGGATTGTGCTAGTTCACTGTCTTCACACTTGGAAGACACAGCTCTTCCCTGTTATGTTTTCAGTCTCCTCAAGCACACAAGAGCTCAGAGACAAGAAGGGTCATCTGCAGGTTTTAAAAGGACCTAGATCAGTGATTTTAACTCATAGCTTGTGCATGCGTAAGTCTCGTGGGCTATCTGCAAGCAGCATGCAAGGTATTTAGGGCTGTGTCCACGTTCCATGTCAAGACAAGGTCTAGTGTATATCCAAGAGAATATACTAATCTCCAATTCCTGTAGAGAGGCACACCAGCAAGGGAGGTGGCATGGAGCACAGTGTGCCCCAAGGGTCCCTGGACTGGTGCTGCCAGGACAAGCACCATCGCTCCTTTCTTCCCGGATGGACGCAAGTCTAAAGAAGCCCTCACCATCCTTCCACTCACAAGCTTTTCAGAGTCCAATAAATTGGAAAGGGCCAAGCACTGCTGAAATAGATCATTTAGGGGTGGCCAGGAGCAAGTAACTAATTAACTGGATTTTGCTGGATCACAGCTGTTAGGACCCATTACAAAGAGTTGTATAGTCATATCGAGGCATTACAAATGCAAAGATGGCACAGCAATAAGCTCATGTGAACCTGGAACCATGGGAACCTGGAGAAAGCCAAGTTAAAAGGGAATATTTGTAATTTAATTTCTATCTGTTAAATGCTAGACAGAATACAGTATAAAGCATTATTGATGGAAAGTAGCATTCACAGAGAAATCATCATAGGTAAAACAGCTGAACACTCACTGGAGGCAGTTTACTGCAGATCTAGAAAACACAGCAAAAACCAAGCACACACGTCTTTGGGCAACATGCATAAAGTGCAGCAGAAGTTTTGCTCTACATCTGCAAACAAAACTTTATGGTATCTGTTCTGTTCTCAAAGACACTGGTACAAAGCTACAGTATATCAATGTCCTGACAGAGAATTACTCTAGATTTGCACCAGTCCCACTTAAAGCAAGATTTATACTGTGTACTTATTCAAAAACACATTTTTTTCTCTCTGACTTCTGCCATCAGAAGAAATTGATAGCGGGCTTTTTCCCATGGAAGAGCCAAACTGCAGCTCTGAATTACTTTATTGTATTTTCTGGTTGATATTTATTTATTTTTAATCATTAAAGTCCTTTAAAGTATAAAAAGAGATTACTTTACAGGTAGGTAGGCATATGAATAGCTGAGCTGTATTTTCTGTAAAGCTGGTGCTTTGCTGGCTTTCACCAGAAGAGGGTAGAATTTGGAAACGGCTCCGCACAGCCGGGATTCGTTATTGTGTTGGGAAACAGCAAAGGGAAAACAAGCACAAGTTTCTCCTCTGCACACTTGCACTGACTATGTGACAGAGTCAGCAGATAAACTCTGGAAGATCTCAAAGTAAAACGAAAACGGAAGGAAAAGCCAAATTAAAAATCAGCTTCCCAGGGAAATCTGTGGAACGGAGGACAAAACTGCAACAGTTTTCCGTGGGCACAGCCTGCTGCTTGTCTCTCTGAGAACTGTCAGTCACTTCACTTTGCATTAATCAGAGCACGGGATTTATTTCTCTGCCATGACTTCCAACCTGTGAATAAATATCACTTTATAGAGAGAATGGAACCTGAAAAGACTCTCGAGCACTGAGCAGAGGGGTGAGTTTTATTAAACAGTTTCTTCTCTTTCAAATCTGCTGGAGCTTTCTAACATCCTGCTTTCAGGAACAGCAGCCAGATGACTTGTCTTTTCACTGCAGCTTGTTGCACACCTCACCAGGTTTTCCTGGCTGCAGGTTTATTTCTGTAACCTTTCCCACCACGACTCCAAGTCAGTGTGGTAACATTTGTAGTATAGCTGGCTTTGTGCTGATTTCCTCTCATGAGAAACTAGAAACATAAAGCTTTGAAGTCAAACAACAGGCTAAAGAATCAAATAAAATCCAATACAATTAAAATGGCAGGTGACTCTAAATTTCCAGATATGCATACTGATGGACTAGAAAAGAATGAAGAAACAGAGATTGTGGTCAATGTTGGTGGGGTAAGGCAGGTGTTCTACGGAGATAACCTGAATCAATATCCAGAAACACGACTGGCAGAGCTGGTCCACTGCTTATCAGGGGGATATGATAGCATATTCTCCCTCTGTGATGACTATGATCCTGGAAAAAGAGAGTTTTACTTTGACAGAGATCCAGATGCTTTTAAATGCATTATTGATGTATACTACTTTGGAGAAATTCACATGAAGAAAGGAATATGCCCTATATGTTTCAAGAATGAAATGGAATTTTGGAAGGTGGATCTTAAATTTTTGGACGACTGCTGCAAAACTCACCTGAGTGAAAAAAAGGAGGAACTGGAAGAAATAGCCCGAAGAGTGCAGTTGATTCTGGATGACTTGGGAGTGGATGCCTCTGAAAATCGCTGGAAAAGATGCCAAAAATACATCTGGAAATTCATGGAGAAGCCAGAATCATCCTACCCAGCGAGAGTAATTGCAGTTTTGTCCTTTCTGTTTATTTTGATCTCCTCTATAGTGATGTGTGTGGGGACCATTCCGGACCTGCAGGTTGTAGACCCAGAGGGGAATCGCATGGAGCATCCAACCCTGGACAGCATAGAGACTGCTTGTATAGGCTGGTTCACCATGGAGTATGTGCTGAGACTGATCTCTTCTCCAAATAAACTCTACTTTGCTCTGTCTTTCATGAACATTGTCGATGTGCTAGCAATACTTCCCTTCTACGTCAGCCTGATCCTGACCCACTTGGGAGCCAAACTCATGGAGCTGAGCAACGTCCAACAGGCCGTGCAGGCGCTGCGCATCATGAGGATTGCAAGGATCTTCAAGCTTGCCCGGCACTCCTCAGGGCTGCAGACTCTAACATACGCTCTGAAAAGAAGCTTCAAGGAGCTGGGACTGCTCCTGATGTACTTAGCTGTGGGAATCTTTGTCTTTTCTGCCTTGGGTTATACCATGGAGCAAAGTCACCCTGATACCTTATTTAAAAGCATCCCTCAGTCATTTTGGTGGGCAATCATCACCATGACCACAGTTGGATATGGAGACATATACCCTAAAACAACGCTAGGAAAACTGAATGCTGCCATCAGTTTTCTTTGTGGGGTGATAGCAATTGCCCTTCCCATCCACCCCATCATTAACAACTTTGTCAGGTATTATAACAAGCAGAGAGTTTTAGAAACAGCTGCCAAGCACGAATTGGAGCTGATGGAGCTAAACTCAGCTGAGGGGAAAGCCGCAAACTCCAGGAGCGAACCAGAGGATTTTGCAAGGGAAGGCAAGGAGGGTCCTTTTTGTAGCAGCCGGTTAAAAGTGTCCCACAGTGACACCTTCATTCATCTGCTGTCAGAAGAGAAGCACTACAGAACCAGGCTTCAAAGCTGCAAATAAACTGGGAGCTGTCAGTGCTGAGCTATAGATCAGAACATCCTGCCAATCAGCTAATGAGAAGACACGAGGGATCTATCAGTCTTGGGAGCAAGCACTGCTTTCCTTTTCCAGCGTGAATAACAATTAACCCCATGGTATCTTCATCAACGGTTGGTAAGACTTTGCTGTTATTATCCCAAATACAATATTATGACTCCATGGAGATCAGAGTGATTATAATGAATGCATCCTGACAAAACCCATTTGTAACCATATTAGAGACTGCAAATTACTTCCTTGACCAGTAAATGTTCAATGATCTGAATGTGCAACATTGCCAAACCAGAATTCTGTACCTGTGATAATAAAGAACAATATCACAAAGAATGTGTCTTTTAGGCTGTGTCTAGTGCTTTGCAGTTAAGAAACACTGTTCCTTAAAATGGTAACACAAATTTAATTGGGAGAAGTTTTAAAGTAAAAAAGTTAAAGCAGTGTCAGCCTAGAGTTATCAAAAATATGAAAATGTGGTATGTGTAGAATAATACAGTCAATGAAAAGTTTTATTTTAACAAAATTTGAGGTTGATTTTTTTCATAGGTATCTGTTCCTCTTTCCATTAAAAATCTAAATTTAAACACTACCTGAAACTATTTATTGACAGAGATGTCAAAGCATTTTAAGCAGCAAATGAAATAAATGTTTGTTCTAATGTTTTACAACATAATAATTTATGGTTGCAGGGACCTTTCAGGAAGTCTTTTTACTCTAGTACTTTTTGAAATGGAAAGTTAATTTACAATTTTTTTAAAATCACTATTAAAGCAAGGGAAGTTTATGGAAGAATTAAGCTGAAATACTGCTAAATAAGAAACTTCAACTCTTTGAAAGTCAGTGTCAAGAAACTTTCAAAAAAAAATGTTTTATGCTAAAATAGCTATCCAAGTAAAAAAAATACTGGGTTATTTAAAAAAAGATAAGCACATTTCAATCCTAGGGTAACTATGGTTTTGCAATATGATTTTACACAGGTTGTAGGTACTACTCAGTCGAGTATTTTGCTCATTAATCAGCCTATTAATCAATAATAGCATCATTACTTTGCTTAAAGTATGCATTACTTTGGTCTGAGTAAAGACTGCAATGTGTGGGTCTGATCCCTGCTAGAGATACGCATTGAAACCAAGAGGCACACTTGCTTAAAGAGGAGGGGAGAATTTGCACACAGGCACATTTGCGTGTGTAAAGTTAGGACCCCCAATGACACCAGAATTGCTCGTGCTGTGCTCGGGTCACTGTCCTTATTCGCCCCCTGCCTGCGGAGCAGCCCCTCGCGCAGGTGAGATGCAGCAGTGCGAGCTGAGCTGCGGCCGCAGCAGCTCCCGACCCAGACGTGGGATGTGACTCTGCAATGATGTGACACGGCTGTGGGTTCCCGAGGGGCTGTGGGAACAGGGGAGGGATGCAGGGCGCTCCTTCCCAGCTCCTGCACCTGACTCGTCTCACCTGGGCCGGCAAGGACCTTGCGCCTGTGGTGCTGGGTGAAGGAGGATGGGCCGTGTTGGTCCTTGCCCCCCTCACTGTGGCTCCTGGTCCATCCCACGGAGCTGCCAACCCAGCAGAAGCCATGAGATATGCACCCTGCAGAGCATACACAGAGCAGCTCTAACTATGCTCTTCTCATTGGAGGCAGAGCCTCCAAGTCCCTTTCCCCACCATGTTTTTGCCCTCAAGCAGCTAAAATGGTTACTGGGCAATTTAAAGTTAGACTTCAAGATTGCTTGGTTTTCCCTTCGTCTCTGAACAGAGTACATGGAGAAGTGCTGAAAGTCACTTACTCTCTCTGCAGCTCTAGGGATGCTGTGTTTCTCCCTGAAAAAGCAAGGATGGGACAGAGAGTCAGGAGCAGTCATGTCCTGGGCTGGAAGGGTTCAGATGGGGTGGGTAGTGGTGTTGTATACAGGGCCTGGACACCACTGTGACTCGCAGGCACCCAGCACCCCAGCAGTACTCCCAATTTTTCACACCTCCTTCCACAGAAATCTCACCCTGGACTCTTCCCATGCTCACACCCTTTCTCAGCACTACCTGCCATCTACTTAAACTCCCAGTGATGCTCCTCTGCCTCCAAGAATACCTACTCCTCTGAATCCCTGTGCCTCTGCTTCTCATTTCCTTTACCATGTCCTGCCTTAGCTCATCAAGTAACATAATTTAAAGCAAGCCTGAACCCTTTCTGTGCCAGAAGCATCCCACCAGCCTTTGTGCCAAATCTTTTCCCATCTAAGACCCACAGTACATCCAGGTGCTCTCCTCAGCCCGAGCACTCCTCATCCTTCCCTCCCTATTCCCATCTCAGAGCCTCCAGATCTGCTCTCTAAAATCCTCATCATCTTCTTAGACATCTCCCTTCACTGGACATTAGTTGATTCTCCTCACAGAGAAAGGATGCTGGTTCTTGCTCTGCCATGGATTTCCATGACATAAATGTGGGCTGCACCCATCAGAAATTAGCTCAGGTGGGACTGAGGGCAGGAGAAGAGGAAAAGTAACGGAGCTCTGCCAGTTCCAACAATATGCCTCATCTCTCACTGGGAATATTAAATATTCCTGACTTCCCTCATGATATGCAGAGGGTGGCTGAATTAAGTTAGCAAAGGGCTCTGAATGAGCAAAGCACTATATATAAATGCTAAGTAATATGGTTAGTACTGTAAGTACTAAATCCTGACTGCTGCAATTTGCAATTTATTTAACATGGTATTAAATAAAGGCTAAACCTCTTTTATCAGAAATGATTTTATTGGCTAATTTCTCCAGTGAGTCATAGTTTCGGGCATAGGGGTTTGCTAAAGCTGTATCAGTGTGGAAAGAGCTTTGGAAAAACTTTGGTGCCCTTCAAGCCCAGGCTAGGGTTAAGCCAAACTCCACAAGGCTTGCTGCACTGGGAAGCATGTTTGTTGGATTATATGCTGTAGTTATACATTGGTGGGTGGGCAGCATGGATTCTTGCTGGTTTGCCTTACCTTTGCTTAAAGGACTGTGTCAGGAGCAATAGGAGACGTGGGCAGTGAATGAGGGTCATAATGGGTGGCCTGCAGCACATGCAGAGACTGAGGTGAGGAAGAGCTCAGGTGTAGCTGGGCTCTGCTGGCTTAAAAGAGGCTTTCTAGAGACCCAGGGGAGGTAGGTCTTGCAGACCAAGGAATCACCATACACTACTGTCCTTGAAATGCCTCGCATGATAGACTGCACTGGGGGGACATTTGTTTTCACATTTTTTTGTCAGTCTGCCTCATCCAGCAGAGATAAATACCATTTATTACAAGTTAATTTCATAAAATAGAGCTTGAGACACTGGAAGGCTTTTGCTGTGAGGAGAAGCTTGTTCAAGGCTTTCATGGGGAGGAAACAATCCCATCCAACAGCTCCAGTTGAGTCAGGATCTCCCAGCTCCTATGCAGTGGATGTTTTCAAGTGAAAAAATAGAACACACTCTGAAGTCTCTGCAAGGAGAAAACCTGAACCTTGGTTGGTCCTTTAGATTTTATCCCTGCGGTCTGCATGAGAAGGGCACTGGTTGCACCAGTCCAGTCCACCTTTGGCTTTCCCAAATTCATCTTTTCCTGAGTATTTTGTAGACATTTTGGCTAAGTCTGTATTGCTAAAGCCAAAACATGGGCCCTGACACCTCAACCGGTCCCTCACTTAATTCAGCTGTTTGGTCAGACCCTGGCACAATTTTCATTTGCACTAGTTATCACTCCCCAGACAATTCCTAGGCACAGTTAGGGAGGCCTCTAGGGAACAATGCCAACAGGAGGTCTTGATGCAAAGCTGTAATTTGAAGGCTAGAAGAAATTAGTTGCATGAAAATGTCCGCATCAAACCAGAAGAGGGGCTGTGGCTCCTGCACAGGTTACTGCAGAAGAGGTAGCCTTTGGCTCTTTCTCTCCATCATCCTCAAAAAAGCAGGCTATGGCTCTCTATCAAATCCAAAGTAACAAGGTGTGTAATTCCTAGCTAGTCCCCAGGGTGTCTATATACCCTCTGGTTGAAAATTCTCTTTACTAGCCCAGTGGAGAGCAAATTCGTCATTATCAGTACCTACCTGTGGGAGTCACTGTCACCCACTGGAACTGGATCAATAAAAAATAAATCCAGGTTTAAAGGCCAGCTGTCTTTCCTGTGTGAAACAACATGAATTCACGCACTGGTTTCAGTGGTAAGCAGGGCTCAGCCGCAGGGCTGTTATGAAGCTGTTTTCTTTTTCCATTGAGTCCAGTTACAGATCTACAGAATGAGCCTCAGCCCTCACAATGAGCTTCCCCTCCCCAAGCGTCTGCAGCATCTCCAAAGCTCTACTGCACAATGGTGTCTCCAGGGCAAGCCCTGCACCTAGGGTTTAATCTCTTTGATTTGGAAGCCCTCCCAGAAGGTCTGAGTAAAGGAAACTACACGGAGTGTCTAGATCTATCCAGTTATCACTGCTTCCCAAATACTCTTCTTCACTTTCTCAGGAGACATCCCCACATAAGAAATTGGAAGTTCTAGGATGAAAATGTAGTACCCTAGAAAACCTGTTCAGCAGAATTCAGGAGAGAAAATAGACCTACTATAATTTTAATTGACGTCAAACCACCTCTGAAACAGAAACTCCTCAGTTCACTGCACAGGAAATTTCAGTCTACAATGAGCAGGTCACACTACCCTGTAGAGAAGATATCCCATAGGATATCTGGCCTATGCAGCTCAAAGAAATCCTCTTTAAATTCCTAACCAACACCAACTTCAGCAGTAAATTTGGAATTACTCCTGATTTGACATAGAATGGCTAACAGCAGAATCTGATGGAGTAGTTTTAATTTAACAAGTAGCGAAGGGTAGATTGGTAGCGAGTGCTAAAACTGTAGGTAAAATGGAGCCTATTTCTGGCTTTCAGGACACCATAAAGGATAGAATTTAATGGAGTGGAAATTGCTTTTAGAAGTGTGGGAAACAGCTGCAGTATTTTGTGACACATCACATTAGCCTCAATGAAGTGACAGGCGCATAGCACATCAGCTCATGCTACACTCTGGTTGGCATGTCACAGCTGAAAAGCCACCTTGGCTTGGAAACAACAACCAGCTACTTTCTTGCCAGAACTGCTGCATGTATAGGATTTGAAAAGAGTTAAAAAAAAAATCAGTTGAGAGACATGCTAGAAAATCACTGTTATCTATTGTTAGATGTGTAGGAGAACTTGCCTTGAGTTGCAGGTATGGAATTTATTTGCCACACGACGTTAGTTTAGTCACCGGTCAGCAGACGAAGCTGGCGCACAGCACATGAAGCTGGTCAGGCCATCTGCTGTAGTAAGGAGC